CTTTGGCGGGACCCCACCGGTACGGTTCTCTCTGTCCCGCCCTGACACTTTTGCAAATATGAATCAGCTCAAAGATATGAACAACTCCTAAAAAATTAGGATTTTTCCGTGTTTCATATAGTCCCACAGTAAAGAGCATTTGCAGCACTCATATGTTATGTTCAGAGTCCGGCAAAACGAGTGTGCCGCGATTCTATCGTCAACATAATGGGGTCACACCGCCTCGACTCACAGCGACTGAGATGTGCTCCGGTCGTCGTGAGCATGCAATGGCACGACCGTAATCGGCTTTGAAAGAATGACTGAGTTCTCCTTTTCTTAAGATAGTCCCTCTTAATCGTTCTGCTCATATAAAAGATTATCTTCAAACATGCTTCCTGTGCTTTTGACTTTCACAATTCCTTCTTGGGCCCGAGGCGGTGTAGTGCCAAGAGGCGCACTCAGGGATAGTCCGCTGTCCCAGCCACAGGTGGATTCTATAACAAGCTAACCCCGAGCCATTAGGATTCTGAAAGGAAGTCGAGGGCAGGTGCCAGTCGATCGCACTTAGGAATGATGCTTTACCCTTAATCCATTATGTACCGCGTGCTGCACATGGTAAGGATAAGGTATGATCTCTGGCAAAAACACTACGGTACGCAATGGGCCTATTTCTCTTCACAACCTAATGAATATGTTATTGCGAAGAAGATGAAACGTCTCTGTTTGCAACATTGAAACTTGCTTTATGCTTGCCGCGTAATGCGTCGCGCGAGTGTGCGCCCAACACCTCGGCGATAAAACCGCATCACCCCCAGGCAAAACAGTTTAATCGGTTTAAAAAACAATACTCGGATACAGTTAATCTGTTTTATCGCTTCACTATGTCGCTGCCCTATTTGTAACTTTTTTATTTCACTGCCCACAAAGAGGCATTTCAGGGACGTTACTTTTTCCCTATACAGAAATGCGCACGTTCACAAAAAATTACTTCCATGTCAAAAGAAAAGCATATAGCAGACGAACTGGTATTATATTACATCTTCATTTAATTGGTTAAGCTGTATATAGACAAATGAGACAGATCTTTTCCTCTAATGAATATCGTTCCTTTCCCAAGTCAAGCTTCAGCGAGGCTACACTTGGGTTAATTTACTTTAACAATAACCTCTTGAGTTATGGTTATGGTAGGGAGCAGTCACAATGGGTTGTCACTTATAAAAACCGAAACGAACGCCTTGAACAATTATATTCGGAAATTAATGACCGGGATTCGGTACATTAATCTGCACGAATAAAATGCTCACTTGAAAGATACAACGACTCAATTCGTATTATCACAAACAATTTGATCTCGGATTTAAAAGCAGAAAATAACAAAAAACTTAGGTACATGTGTGAGTAGCATAGATGCCACACAGAAAAAAGCAAGCTTTTAACGACGACGCTAGCACAGCNCACCTCGCCATAATTTCAAAAAAGACCACCATGGAGTAGTCTCAGTGGTCGCAAAAACTGACTCAACAAATCTACATTTCTTTCTAAGAAACCCGCACAATACGATGCTACGTTAGTCACCTCACAAAAGACAGGCGTCCCGATGATGCAACAAGCAAGGCAAATAATTTCTGAATATGTAGAATGCTAGACTGGGCATGAAGTTAGAAGTAGCATCTGAGCCTACCGCTGCCAAAAGACATCCCCAAACAATCACATGAAAAAACAATTAGAAGAGAGTATAGGAGACTAAGGCGACATCAATTCCAAACACACTTCAGTATAATACTTCAATAGAAAAAAGAAAATCAAACACTAGAACCTATAACTAGATCATTATGATAGACAAGAGCTGAACGCATCAGAACACGGCAATAACGGTTCTATGCAAATAATAACAGAAGGCAAGTTCTAAATTACATTGTTTACATTTTTCGCCATTGAAATGAAATAACGAGAGGTGCAATCCACACCTGGTGAATAGTTCAGATTGGTCGAACTCAGACCCGAGATGAAGATGATGAACGCTCATACCTTGAGAAAAATCATATAGTATACTTTGCCTTTACCGGACATAAAGAGTGTTTTAACCACTTACCATGCTGATGGTAACGTTAATTCCGAGGTTACCATTTTCTAAAGCATACATCAATTAATAAAAGCAAGTAGCGCGATAAGAAATAACCAACTTTACGGTGTTTATGGTCACCTGCAAACAACTGAGCGGTTGGAGTGTCAAACGCAAGACAGTCCGATAGCTGGATTGCATGAGCAACGCCTTCATGAATTGAACGTGGTGTCGCTTCCCAACAGAGACGACGACGATGTGTCGATAACTCCAATCTGCGAAGAATGAGCTATACCCGTGGCGAAAATTTATGAGCATGACATGCTCATATACAAAATTGTGAAGGCGATACTCAAAGCAGCCATTTTTAGTTGAAAACTAATGGACAAGCAATCGACGCTTTGACATGAGTTTTTCTCTCTACTCAATTGTTAAAGCTTGCCTTTTCGGACATTTTGGAGACAGAAAAAATAGAAAAATTGGAAAAATGATCAAAAGACATGGAACAAACCATCGTCTTCTCAAAGCTAGAAACTGTTTTCCTTTGTTTAGAAAAGAGCCAAAACATTCAATGTACTAAGGCTCGTGGCCGTCATCGAATAGAATCACTTCCATTTGACCCCTTCGTCGACTCCTACGTTGAACTCTCTTAAGACACATCCACCAACTAATCACCTTCCGTCTTAGGCAAGATGTACATATCACTCCTTAAATCCTCTCATTCGGATATGTCATGCCAACATGTTGATGAAAAATTGTAAGGCTCCGTCGCGACACGATTAAACCAGAATATCATCGAAGCCATCCACCATCTATCATCGAAACGCTGTCTTCGCTGGTCTGCGTTAACTGTATTGCTGTATTAAGAGAGGAGAACAGGATGATACTAGCAACTACCGCCCGATCTACCCGCTGTTTGTAATCAACAAACTCTTCGCATGAATCATCCTCAACAGAATTGGCAGGTCACTGTATGAAGGACAACAATGCGTACAAGCAGTGTTTCTAACTTGTTCAGCATGACCGACAATATCCACATTGTAATGAGATTAAATGGAGTATCGGGAGTACGGATGCCTTTATGTCTTACGATCATCAATTTGACGGCTGTTTAAAAGCCGTGACAGTACAGTGGCTTGGGTTTTGTGCGACTAAGGTGTCTTTAGTGGATATTGGTAGTCTACTAAATAGATAAAAGATTCTTTGTGAACCCTACAACTTTAAGACCAGGAATTCGACACTTCACTAGGGAGGCATGTTCAACAAAAAGCGAGCGGTTTGGCTTCTCGCCCAATCCTTTCAAAGCCACTTTCAAGAACATCATTCGTCGAGTGTGGGAGGACATAGGCCAGTAGGCGGCACTGGCTGTTTTGTAAGCAACATCCTGCCTAAAACACCAATCACCGAGTCGGAGGAGTGTCTGTTGGCTGGCCGAATTCGAACAACGATTGTGGAATGATGGCCAACGACTGAACCTAACAGAGAAGATTTTCATGGAAACGGATTGGCATCTTATCCTCCTTTCACGCTGAACGGAACGAACATATTGAGTGCTGCAGCTACGTAAACCTTGTTCGAGAAGTCAACATGATGATCGACTTAGCTCTGAACCAGAGCTGAAGAAAAAGCTTGACGTGAGGAGCATTTATGAACTTCGAGGGAGTAATGAAGAGGAAAACCACTCCGCTCTGCGCTCACTTTTCCGACATTGCAGAGCTTCTTTTTCGAAGTACGCACCGGAGAATTGGATGTACAAAAAAACAGGGACTCAGCCTCATCAACGCGCTGGGGAAAGGACGATGTCGGATACACACAAGTGCAGAGGGGAATCCGGAGTTCCCCGCTACTTCAAATAGCGAGGATCGACAGACGACGCCATTGATTAGTTAGGGAACTCAAGACCAGGTGGACCGGACACGCCTTGCAATTATAAGGTGACGTTGGAACAGGGCGGTGTCAAAGGGACACCAGAACTGGCACCCTCCTGATGACCAGACTTCTTCAAGGAATGCTATGCTTCCCATACTGAGCGAAGAGGGTCCACTAAAAATAATTAGTTTGCGAAAAGGACGAATGGTGACGTTATCTAGGCCGCTCGAGGAATTCGATGATCAACGGGACGAAAGATGATACAGATGATATGGCAACGAATGCTAATAAAATACAGAACACACGTGGCAAAGAAACTCATAGGAAAACCTTACGACAAATTGTGCAGAATAAAGAAGGTTGAACAAAAAAATTCTCCTCAGATCATTCCGAAAGTAATTCAGAGCAGTGCGCCTTTGATAGGATAACATCAGCCTTGAAAAGCACTAGCAGAAAAACTACGTGTAGAATACCAATCTGCATTTCAATTTTTTTCGAGGATTTCTTATAGTAAAACTACACGTTTAATACATAAGGTTTCGCTTTGAAAAGCTATCTTCTATCATCTATTATATATAAATAGCCACTACACTTCTCGAGTTTAGTGAAGAACTAGTTGAGCGACCTCAATCATGCAGAAGACTAACCGATACATGAAATTGTCGGCTTCCTTTTTAGCACCAATAAGCTGCACGACGGCATAGAAAACTTGTTGCCCGTGGTCGAATTTTTCCTGCTTTTCTGCAATGATATACGGTCGAATGAGAAGTTTTCTAAAAACAAACCTCTATCAAGAAATCGATTTACCTAGGACTAGCATGAAGTTATAGCCAAAGCAGCTCTGCATCATAACCCAATCAACAGCTCCTGGCAAATTGATATCTGTTGCAAGGAATACGATATCCTCTCCTGAAAAAAAAAAGATTGAATCGAATTTGCTGCTCTAAAAAATGTCCCCTTTAATAAAATGCATATTTGGAGCGAGAATAAATAACTTGTAAATTTGTGGCGGAAACGACAGATGCTCGATTGATAAGGCATGAGGATAAGACGTATGGTTATTGGCGCCTTTGAAGATACAGGCAAATCTCGCATCGCCCTCGCGGGCGACATTGAGAAGCTGACATGGGAAATGGGGACGCATGGCCAATATGAGCAGCCAAAATTTTCAATAAAACTTCCCAGCTATAGTTATATTATGAATAAGCTTTCGCAGCAAGTATTCCTAGAAAGTTGAAACGCAAGTAATGAAATATCACTGAATTGGCCACATGCGAAATCGTTCTTATCTTTTTCTCCCTTTTGGAGATTACGAATTCATTAGGGGCAACTGCATGAAGTTTCCTCGAACAATGAAGTAAGCGCGTATAAAAAGATGAAAATGTTGATTAGTTTCGCAAACTGACGAGGTTTAACATTAATTGAGATGCAGCCAAGAACAGGACTTGAACCTTACTGAACGTGCTTCCCCCCAAAAAAAAAACACAATCGGGCATGGAGAGGACACAGTTTGTTACCGTGCTATGATAGGAAAAGAGAGCAGAGGGTGTTGTACTGTTCTACTGAATACCACTCCAGACTCTTACGCAACATTAAATACAGAAAACGTGTATACTGACACCGAGAACCCAATGAACAGCATGAACGGATAACAAGCCCTACCTTGTAAAGTAGTTATGCTCTTGTGAACTTTCTTGAGATGGTCCATGACATCATTCAAAGCTCCTTGCCACTTGCAAGCAGCTCCAGGACAAGGACAACTATATGGACTGAAAAGGTCGGTATAACGCCCCATGGTGTACTGGTTAAACTTCGATTTTTTGAAATAAGAATGAAACAAACCGGCATTCACAGGTTTCCTCGTGTTCGACTTTATCAAAATGATAAAAGAATAGTGGACATCCAGATGAAGCGAACTTACACGGGAATCGAACCGTGTTAGCAATTTTCTCGAGACCAAGATTACGAACACTGGCTAAAAAAGATGGGAGGCATACAGATAAAAAGATATCAGAATAAAAAAAAGACACGACTAACGTGTCGGTCCGCGGCACGTGGGACAGCATTGCAGTTTGGGGCGGCAATTACCACAAACTAGGTGGCCAGCTTGACATTGTAGATACGGAGGCAACATGTATTCCAGACAAACAGGACATTCGAAAACCGAGAGCACCTGAGAATTGTAATGACCAGCATTATTAAATGCGGGTGCACTGCTTGAAACAAAACCACTAAACGGCGTTACGCCTGAAAAGGCAAATAATCTTAAGATGTTCCTTATCAAATGAACAAACCTCGGCACTGCTATCAGTGTGTTCATTAGCTCCGATAGTTGCAATCTGTGGAGCTACACTTTGAGTTGACAACGAAGACGGCGAGCAAGTAACCACTGGAACTATAGAAGAACTACGTTCAAAACATCCGTTATTTGAGCACCACAATGGGAATAAAGGGAAGTAATGACGGTACCTGGAGGAGCCGTTGCTTGAACGCGCGCGAGATTCTTCTGATGAGGAGCTGCCACGCCGTGGTTTGGTGGCGTAGGACCCATGAATTGTGTTGGAGGTGATCCAGAACGACTGCCGCTACGGTCATTTGTCGGAGTGTTGCTTGTGGTTACGGAGTTTGGACCACATAGCGCTGTTGTTGTTGACGAGCCAGAAGAGGATACCGCTGCCGACGGTACCTTAAAGTCAAAAAACACTTTGATATTCAAATTACGGCCGAATAGCTGAATGCCTCCAGAACCTATTCAGCAGTGGAAATTGGAAAGAAACAACACGAAAACCATAAGTTCCATAGCAGTTGGACGATATCCTTCAGAGACTATTATGTGAATTCGATTAACCACCCTACCAATAAAAAAGAAACATACATTGGACTTCTAATGGTTCCGAATCTTTCACTGAGTACGTCTAACGCAGGTTTCTTTCACATTAAATGCCTGACTTCAAATTAGAACAAACAATTGCATTAGGAATTAGACAGCCGCTTCATGCTTCTCAGAAAACGACTAAATAGCAGTTTCCGTGAGATATGTGGGGTTGGTTATAAAGGCACGGAAGACAATTGAAAATTAAATGAAACAGCTAGAAACCTCCGACAAAATCAGTGAATAGGAGCACTCCCCTTGCAGAATTTTGATAAGAATATTCTGTAGTGTTTCAATACAGAAACTGTCACGACAAAACATTTTACTGCTGAACAAGGCATAGCAAACCAACTGTTTAAGGGAGGCTCGAAAATCATTGGAGGGATTTTGGCGTCCTCTGAACGGGTGATACAGTAACTCCCTAGTGACACACTACCCATCCGGCTTCACCCGGCATAACTTTCTGTTGTCTCGTATGTGTGACAGGTGTTTGGAGGCGCTTGAGCGTGGTGTTCGGGTTACTGTGTAACACATTTACGGGACGACTGAATCCGTCTTGTGGAAAATCAGCTTGTCTTGGTCGTGCAATAAATTTAACGATGTGTACTGATCTTAACACTGCCAACAGAATGAATAACATTGATGCTACCTGGCCGTGGTTGTTGCTACTCATCAACGCAACAAAGACAGCGTGCTGGAAAGCCCGCCAGCGCAGACGTCACTGCAAAGCTGTGTCCCTGGAAAAGTTGATTTTAGGAAGTGATGAATTAAAGGTATTTGAAGCGTATCGCAGTGATACGCCAGAAGAATACTCGAACATATTAAACGACAGCATAAATAATAGACATTGTCCAAGTTTGGGAGTTGCGACTTAATACTAGTTAAGCTGAGACAGTACCGAAGAAAAAGGGCAGTCAACTATTCGCTGACTCTATACTTTACCTAAGTTTAATCGATGTTACATGTAAACTGATTCAACGAGACCTATTGGGAACCGGTACCATAATGGACTAACATGAATTTGGAACAATCTCGGTAAGTTTCAAACTAGCACACCGGTTAATTGGATGGGCTGTACATCCGAATGAACCTTCCAAACTAGCAGTGAAACCGATCAACTTTATGTAGACAAGATATTATGGGCATCTAGAGAGCAGTACCTTTTGCTTTTTCTCATTTTTAGGTCAGTAAGTGAGGCCAATTTTGTAAAAGACAAGTCTAGGAACTATATCCAACTCGCAGCTTCAAAGGAATGGTCCCATGAAAAGCGAGAAACCAATCGTGGGAGAAAAAGAAAAAGAAGTGGGGAGGGGGGNGGGGGGGGGGCACCCATAAGAGTCGCCCCAAGTTAAAGCAGAGGAGTATATCAATAATTGCACACGATAGTGTTGGTATAATAGGGAAGGAACACGCTGTTACGTGTTAATACGTGTTACATCACGGACACGCAAGTTTCTCAAACTGTATTTACGAGGGAGTTAGTACTAGAGGTGGAGGGGGGACGAGTTTTCAGTTTTTGCACGAGGTAATCGTCTCACCCACACGGGTGCTCCTACACTCCAAGGGCTTTGGTAAACAACTAAATTCTTATGGCCAAAACCGCAAAAGAAGCAGATGGCCTGTGCCAATACCACTTCCCGTTTCTGATACGTGCTAGTATAACATGGACCAACACGCGAGACCGTGTTAATTTTTTGTCATACTGACATTTGAGGGGTTTCAACGTTTTGTGAAGCTATTATATAGAAACCCCCAGTGCCCCACCAACCGCCCCGGGGGCTCACCCAGGGCACAGTCTGTTGCGTCACATGTGATGGATGGTTGGAGGGGCATGAGCGTCTTCGGACACTGTGTAACTCATTCACGGGACCGTGAAATCCGTCTTTTCATACTATCACAATTATCAGCCTCACCCCACCACCAAATTCTCACCCTATTCTATTTTCACGCCTACCCTGTTTTACACGGTAGCTCGATAAAGAGCGGGTACCTAATCGAGCAATACTGAATATAAGAAACCTAGCGCTAATGTAAATCACATTCACTACAAGAAGTTTTCACACTTCGACAAATGCATGAAGCTGCCACAATGGAAGAACTAGTTTCCACATAATTGAGGGCAAATGCATTGAAGTATCACAGTAAGTAGTATCACAATTTGAAAAAAAAACCTCGGGGCATAATTGCACACAAATAAAGAAACGTGCCGCGTCCGGTTGGGAGATAAGATAAGGAGGAAGCATAACGAAACAAGCTCTGCTCAACAAAACAGACTGATGGTGCGAGTTCCAAGTATACCCACGGCTGCTGATGATCAGCAATCCTCTGAGAGAAACAGTACAATAGGGGAATATCCTTGCAGACGAGGAAAAGCACGATAATGTCCCATGAAGAAGCGGTTTCCTAAGGCGATGAACCTCGTCGCTCACCACCCGCGCGCGCGAGCAGCTCGCGAGCGACAGCGGGTCAGACATCTGTTCGGCAGTACAGCAATGAAGGAGACGCAGAGTGATGGGGCAGAGAAACAGCAGGGCAACGGGAGAGTGCGCAGGCACTGAGCGCTCAGCTGACTGCCGCCTTGGCTGCTACAGCATCGATTTGTGACGCGCTCATTGCACGCGAATGAAACCCGCAACCTGGGGAGTTCCGTTCACCCGGTTCATGACGTCACCTGCGCCCCCAGCCGTGCTATCGGGTGCGAAGGTTCGTGGGTGGAGAGGGGACCATTTGAGTCGTAGCCCTCCCATCACTCTAGGTCCGTTCTATGAACGCAAGAGAACTATTGAAGAAGTAACCATCAACGGATCCTCTGAAATGCTGCCGGGATGGAAAACGCCTTCGTGCGGCTTCATTATGTTATATAGCGGAACTGCATTACTCATACTCACTACTCATACATAAAGCCGATGTTCACTTCGTTAGTTTACCGTTGTTCCTTTGCTGCCCAAAAATTTGCTATATTGATCAATACGGGCGGAGGTGGTATAGTGGTAAATGGTGTACCGTCGCGGGTTCGAAAGCCGGATGGATATCCGCCTAGACCAACCAAGCCCTCCATACCTTTGAGGTCGATTAATTGGTGTTATACTCGCCTGGTAGGATAAAAGCCCTGGCTTCTGCTGGCAACTCCAATTCATTGTAAAGACCCATACGCTTCGAAATGCCCGTACGATTCTTTCAGAAAGTGAAACGGAGGAGGGAGGGCAACCTAGATTGGGATGGTCGGCGCCGTAAGGCTCCATTCTCCATGCTCCCGTTTCTCCTTGGAGTTCAACGCAAATGTTGAAATAACTACGAAGAGCCCAGCTAAAAGTTCAGTACTTTTAAAACAATTTGTACATAAGCAAAAGTCTGGAAGATAGTTTTCGCTTGCAATCTTAGCTTACTTGGAGCGCGTTCATAAAAAAAAGTTGGAAAACGTTGAACACACAACTAAGTTGAAGACAAAAAGCTATTAAGGCTGAATTGAAAAGTGCGAAAAAAGAATATAATCAGAAATAAAGGAAAACAAGAAGGTGTAAAGACTGCGTAGACTGATATAAGGGAATAGTTTTCAAAGAATTCCGGGGCAGACTTTATAAACCTACTCTGTACCGCGTAATCCACTCGACAACAGGCCCACTAAATCATTCGATTCGTTCTTAGGTGATATCTTTCAGATTTTCTCCGGTGAACAAGCTCATTGTCCAGAATCGGAGGGTCGGGTATAAAAACCGATATAAAAATGTCAGGTATCTAATTAAAACAAAAAGATGGAAGTAGCAAGCGTTTTTAGCAGATATCAGCGTTTAGCCGTCCGTGATTGTTGTTGGTCCGCATCATCACCAGTTGCGCTTGATAAGCCGGGTAAATCGAGTGAATCATGAAGTGAAAACCTAAGCAACCATCTGCAAACTATAATTGTGAGTCATTTCGGTAATTAAATGCCAATTTTATGGCCCCAAACCATTCGTTTTATGACTTTCTCACGATTATCTTTGAGGAGTCTCGATTCCGCGACGGTATTTCCTGTCCGCAGTCTGAGCGAATACAAACTAGGCAGACA